CATCAGGGAAATCTGAGGCCCCGTGCAGGCGGAGTGAAAAGGCCTGGTGCTCGCCCAGGGGTGCCCGACCTCGGTCAGGGAATGGCTGTGGACGGGCAGTGAGGACTCGATGTGACGGGCACTCTGAGGAGGGGCACAGAGGAGACCTCTGAGGGGAAGCATGACATTCAGGTCGGATTGTGCCTTGGATTCGGGTGGGCTGCGGAGATGCAGAAATGAGAATGGAGAGCCATGAAGTCGAGATGTGGAGGGGTCACGTCCCACAAGGCCTGTGGACCAGAATAGGAGTGTGTTTTGTCACCCAGCATCCCTACGCTGAGCCAGTATTTGTTGAGAGCCCCCTCTGTGCCAGGTCTTGTTTCAGCATCACGGATCATGCAGCAAACAACAAAAGTGGCCGACCTCACGAGCTCCCATTTCTAGTGGGCAGTTAGGTTGTTTATTACGGGTGGCCAGTGAAGTCAGGAATGTGGTTCCAGGCGCAGCCTACGGGCGGGTCTGCGCTGCGTGCACGGGTGGGCCACAGGGTGCTGAGGGCAGAATTCAGCGCTAACGACACACGGTCAGGTCAAGGCATGGCTTCCCTTAATGTTCGAGGCCTGGTGTCAGCACACCCAGACTCACCCACCAGCACCACTGTCTGTATGTCCATTGCTAGGAATGGTTTTTACGTTTTAACAGTTGGACAAATCAGATGCAATGGGCTATTTAATAACATGTGACTAGCATATGAAATCGACGTGCAGTGCCCATGAGTAAAGTTTGGTTGGAGCACAGCCACCCGTTTTGCATACACGTTGCCTGGTCTGCTTTGTGCACAGTTGAGTATTTGTGACAGAGACTGTATGCCCCACAAAACGGGAAATATTTACTGCTGGCCCTTGACAGAAAACGTTGGCCAGCCCTGCTCTAAGTCCTCGTAGTGCTCCGCCAGTGCCTCCTCCAAGTCCGCCAGACGGCTCCTCCCTCAGAAGGTGATGGAGGGAGATGGCAGAGAGGAGTTTCTGTTCTCCTGCTTGGCCCATAGGTCTGGATGTGGCTCCTCAGCCTCAGACCCCTGGCCTGCAGCTCTGATGTGCTGTCTGGGACAGACATGGTTCTGTGGAGGCCCCTGGGGTACTGAATTCCTATCCTGGTATGTGGTCCTGATAGAGGGAGACCAGACCTGCCTCCTTTGTGAGCTCAACTCAGTGCTTCTGGTACACTGAGACCGTGGAACTCTGTCCCTTCATTCAAAGCAGGGGCACCAGGCTCCGTTCACTGACAAGGAAATTTCTCCGTGACTTACTGAGCAGAACACACGGCAGCAATAAAAATTCAGTGGGGCTGTAACACGTCACCCCACTTACATCAGGTTGTATGTCTGTGCCTTTACACGTGTAGGAAGGGGTACCTGGACGCTGACTCCCCAGAAGGTTCACAGGACTTACCCCTGGGTGCTGGAATTTGGGGTGATTTTTTAAAACTTTCTTATTACTTTTTTATGTACTACTTGGGTTTCTTTTTCAAAACATTAGCATGAATCACCTTAATCAGCAAAGAAAACCCAGCTATTTTAATTTCAAAGACTAAATAAAAGTGGTTGCCTCTGCATGTGGGTGACAGAATTATTTATGTGGTGACGTGCAGCCATTAGTGGTACCTGCGTCCCGGTACAGCTCTCCACTAATTGGAACAGGAATGAAGGCCTCGGAACGAGGGGGTAAGTGAGAATACGGCAGGCGGTAAGAAGGGACAGAGAGGCCGGGAAATCTGACACGGCCATCACTGCGAGGGACAGGAGCTTCCAGTGTATAAATCTTTGTTCATTATTGACATCTGGAAAGGCGGGGGTGCAGGTCTTCTGACTTTCCCCCTGCTCAATGCTATCTTGAGAAACTCAAGGTTTGGGGGCGTTTTAAATGGTATGTTAGTGCCACCTAGTGTCGGCAGTGCCGTTTCACCCCTCTCCCCGCGGAAGCCTCCATGCACGCTGTGTGTGATGTCCCTGCTCCGGTGGCATTGTGTGGCAGGCAGCGCCATGCCTCGGGGTTCTTTGGGGCAGTGGGGATGCCTCATTAATTTATCCCTTCCTTCCCGTCTCAGTCACACAGAGCGGAGCTCTCCGGCTGCGGCGCGATTTGGCAGTTGAAGAGCGAAAGGATGCCTCCCTGTCAGAACCAATCTCCTCTTTTCTCCAGCAGCCAGCTCTGTAAAGCAGGGCCCGTGCTTGAGGCAGGGTTGCCATCCTGCTCCCCAGGGCGGCTTGGGCTTGGGGCTCTTGGGGAGGCTGGCCGTGCTGGGCTCCTGGGAGACGGCACAACCACGCCGTGGCCCCTGGCTCACCTCCGCTCAAAGCCTGAGTGCCGTCCTCGCTCCAACCTCAGTCTAGAACCTGCTCCCACCTGCCTGGTCTGTCGGCCGCAGCCTCGGCCCCTCCTCCCAGGCCTCCCCCCTCCACCCCGGCCCCTCCAGGTTCTGTGCGCAGCTGAAGCGCAGGGATCTCTGTAAAGTGCAGGCCTGCTTGTGTCGTTCTCTGTTCAGATCGTCCCAGCGTCCTCCAGGTGCCCTTAGGATGAAGACCAGAATTTTCAGCAGGGCCTCCGCGTTCTCCCTCAGCTACACTGGGCACTGTTTCCTCCCTGCCCGTTTGCGCCCGATCCAGGCCTGCTGGCCTCCTTTCAGTCCCTCAGGCCTCTCCCTCCTGTGGTCCCTTGGCCTGCCCTCCTCTCTTCCCCTGACTCACCTCCCAGGGGTGCCTTCCTCAGTCTTCCCCGGGCCCGTGGCCTGGGTCTGATCCTCCGGTACTGTGCTTGGACAGCGTCGAGTACCTCTCCTCCCCTCCATCCATCCCATCCAGACGAGCAACATCAGCTCCACATGTGGGATCCTTTGGTGAATCCCGTCTCCCCATTTAGACCAGTGGTCCAGGGGATATTTGGCATTACTGGGGACATTATTGATTGTTATAGTTTGCAGGGGGTGCTCCTGGCATCTAGCGGGTGAAGACCAGGGATGCTGCTAAACACACTACAACGCACAAGACAGCCCCCAAGAGCAAACAATCTGGCCCCAAAAGTCAATAGTACCAAGGTTGAGAACCCCGGCCCTGGACTCTGAGCCCAGTGGAAGCAGGAACCCCAACTACTGGGAAAGCACGTTTGGAAGCAAAATGTCGCTATTAAAGGCTGATTTGATATTCTCAGCCCTTTCATAGGTAGATGTAGAACCACATGACCCTTCAAACCTGCTGGCCACAGGAATAGAGAGGAGGGTGGGCCTGACTTTTCCATGTCCGCATCAGGGTAATTATTACAGATCAGAGAAAGCCATCCCTTTTATTTGTGCCTTTGCTTTAAACTTATTTAATGTCTCATTTTAAATTGTATTTACTCTGATCTATTTACAATAAAATTTGATCTACAATTTTAGTTCACTGGGACACCCTGCAGGTCAAATGGCCTGGCTTCTGCAAAAAGTCATCAAGGGGAAAAGGCCAGACGTCTGTGCTAGGCTGTGCTAGCTCAAGGCGCCCTGGCCAGTGTGTTTAAACAATCTTTTGGAGACATTTGGAGACATTTGAATATGGACCGTGCATCAGATAGTATTATTGATTTAATGTTTGTTTTCTTATGTATGATTGTGGAATTAGGGTATTTGTCTTAGCTCCTGTTGCTATAACAAACTACCATAGGCTGGGTGGCTTAGAAACAACAGAAATTTGTTTCTTGCAGTCCTGGAGGCCGGGAAGTCCAAGGTAAGGCCCAGTAGGTTCCCCGCCTGGTGAGAGCTCGCCTCCTGGTTCGCAGTGTGGCTCCCCACTGTCCTCACGTTGAGAAGGGGCAGGGAGCTCGCTGGGGCTCTTTTATAAGGACACTGATCCCATTCATGAAGGCTCCACCCTCATGACCTAATCCCTTGCCAAAGGCCCCACCTCCACAGACCATGACATTTGGGATTAGGCTTCAACATACGAATTTGGGGGGACAAACCATCCAGCCTCTTGCACTCAGATGTGAGAATATCCTTACTCCTAGGAGATGCAGGGTGGAAAATTAAGGAGTGAGTGTCAGGATGTCTGCGACTGCTGCTGAAGGCTTAGCAGGAGAACGG